AATAACCAGGGAGCCATCACATACCCAGGAAGCCATCACATACCCAGGAAGCCATCATATACCCAGGAAGCCATCATATACCCAGGAAGCCATCACATGCCCAGGAAGTTTTCACATAACCAAGAAGCCTTCACATACTCAGGAAGTTTTCACATACCCATGAAGCCATCACATACCCAGGAAGCCAGAAGCCATCAAATATTCAAGAAGCTATCACATACCCAGGAAGCCCTCACATACCCAGGAAGCATCACATACCCTGGAAGCTGTCACATCCAGGAAGCCATCACATACCCAGGAAGCCATCACATACCTTGGAAGCCATCACATACCTAGGAAGCCCTCATATACCTAGGAAGTCATCACATACCTAGGAAGCCATCACATACCTAGGAAGCCATCACATACCCAGGAAGCCATCACATACCCAGGAAGCCATCACATACCCAGGAAGCCTTCACATACCCAGGAATCCATCACATACACAGGAAGTTGTCACATATTCAGGAAGCCTTCACATAACCAAGAAGCCTTCACATACCCAGGAAGTCTTCACATACCCAGGAAGCCTTCACATACTTGGGAAACCATCACATACTCAGTAAGCCATCACATACTCAGTAAGACATCACATGCTCAGGAAGCCATCACATACCCTGGAAGCTGTCACATTCAGGAAGCCATCACATACCTGGGAAGCCATCACATACCTTGGAAGCCTTCACATACCCAGGAAGCCATCATATACACAGGAAGTTGTCACATATTCAGGAAGCCTTCACATAACCAAGAAGCCTTCACATACCCAGGAAGCCTTCACATACCCAGGAAGCCTTCACATACTCAGGAAACCATCACATACTCAGTAAGACATCACATACCCAGGAAGCTATCACATACCCTGGAAGCTGTCACATCCAGGAAGCCATCACATACCCAGGAAGCCATCACATACCTAGGAAACCATCAAATATTCAGGAAGCCATCACATACACAGGAAGTTGTCACATATTCATGAAGCCTTCACATAACCAAGAAGCCTTCACATACCCAGGAGGCCTTCACATACCCAGGAAGCCTTCACATACCCAGGAAGCCTTCACATTCTCGGGAAACCATCACTTATCCAGGAAGCCATAAAATATTCAAGAAACCATCACGTACCTAGGAAGTCATCACATACCCAGGAAGCCATCACATACCCATGAAGTCTTCACATACCCAAGGAGCAATTACATACCCAGGAAGCCATCACATACCCTGGTAGCCATCACATACCCAGTAAGCCTTCACATACCCAGTAAGCCATCACATATCCAGGAAGCCTTCACATACCCAGGAAGCATTACATAACCAGGAAATCACATAACCAGGAAGCATCACATACGAAGGCATCCATCATATAACCAAGAAACCATCACATACCCAAGAAGCCATCACATAACCAGGAAGCCATCACATAACCAGGAAGCCATCACATAACCAGGAAGCCATCACATACTGAGGAAGACATCACATACCCAGGAAGCCATCACATAACCAGGAAGGCATCGCATACCCAAGAATCATCACTTAACCAGGAAGCAATCACATACCCAAGAATCATCACATAAACAGGAAGCAATCACCAATCTGTCATGCATAAAATAAGCATACCTGAAGTACAAGTTTGTTTGGTGAATGAATAATGCAGAAAAATTGATTGAAAATATTTTGTGGTGTGTGTTTAAAGATGGTGTCAGGCAGACAAGATGGTGTCAGGCAGACAAGATGGTGTCAGGCAGACAAGATGGTGTCAGGCAGACAAGATGGTGTCAGGCAGACAAGATGGTGTCAGGCAGACAAGATGGTGTCAGGCGAACAAGAGCACCAGATAATGGGAGGGTGATTTACTAGATTTCAGGATAACTAACAGTTATTCTTTTTATTAAATGTGATGTCTTTTCATTTTTAAATGGAATGTCTTTCATCATTTGGGTTATTACATTATTTAGGTTTGGTTTAGTGTCATTGTATCAGTTGTGAGGTCTTACATCACTTGCAACCTGCTGTTCTAGACAGTCTTGGGTAGTTCTCGACTCATTCTTGGATAGTTCTTTATTTGTTTTTCAGATATGGTATATCGTTAGTGTGGAAGGCAGCATTTAAATTTGGTTTTGTGTATTTTATTCCATCAATTATAATGTTTATAAGTTGAGATAGTGTGAATGATGGTGAAAGTGTTTCTTTTTCGGGTCACCCTGCCTTGGCAGGAGAGAGTCAGCGTGTTGAAAGAAAAAGTTTTAATATATTATTCTTGATCAGGTGTTGTATATCATTCTTGCATGAGGCATTGTATATCATTCTTACATGAGGCATTGTATTTCATTCTTACTTGAGGCATTGTATATCATTCTTACATGAGGTGTTGTGTATCATTCTTACATGAGGTGTTGTGTATCATTCTTACATGAGGCATTGTATATCATTCTTGCATGAGGCATTGTATATCATTCTTTCATGATGCATTGTATATCATTCTTTCATAAGGCATTGTATATCATTCTTACATGAGGCATTGTATTTCATTCTTACGTGAGGTATTGTATATCATTCTTACATGAAGTGTTGTGTATCATTCTTACATAAGGTGTTGTATATCTATCTTATATGAGGTGTTGTATATCATTCTTACATGAGGTGTTGTATATCATTCTTACATGAGGTGTTGTATATCATTCTTACATGAGGTGTTGTATATCATTCTTACATGAGGTGTTGTATATCATTCTTACATGAGGTGTTGTGTATCATTCTTACATGAGGTGTTGTGTATCATTCTTACATGAGGTGTTGTGTATCATTCTTACATGAGGTGTTGTATATCATTCTTACATGATGTGTTTTATATCATTCTTACATGAGGTGTTGTATATCAGTCTTACATGAGGTGTTGTATATCATTCTTACATGAGGTGTTGTATATCAGTCTTACATGAGGTGTTGTATATCATTCTTACATGAGGTGTTGTATATCAGTCTTACATGAGGTGTTGTATATCATTCTTACATGAGGCATTGTATATCATTCTTATATGAGGTCTTGTATATCATTCTTACATGAGGCATTATGTGTCATTTTTACATGAGGTGTTGTATAGCATTCTTGTATGAGATACAGTAGACCATTTTTAAATAAGATGTTACATTCAGTTTGTTTAGTTACACTTCTTCACTTTGCCCCCTTAAAGGATCCACTTGTGTCTTTTTAATTTCAACCAGTTAAAATACATAAGTTTTTTTTAACACAGTGGACATCTTCCATCCAGGTAGGGTGACCCAAAAAAGAAGAAACACTTTCATCATCATTCGTATCATTATTGTCTTGATAGAGGCACACCGGCATTGCAGCTCAGATGTCCCTCCAAATTGCCATATCCAACCCCATCCCCCCTCCCCATCCTTAGTGCAGGCACTGTACTTCCCACCACCTGGACTCAAGTCCGGCTAATTATTTTCCCCGAATTCCTTCATAAATGTTACCTTGCTCACATTCCAACAGTACATTAAGTCATAAATGTTCTTTTTAAATTTAGTAATTAATACAGAAGGGGTTACTAGCCCCTTGCTCCTGACATTTTAGTTGCCTTTCGTGGCACGCATGGCTTACGAAGGAAGGATTCTTCTCCACTTTCCCATGGAAAAGAAAGAAATAATATAGGAATAAGAGTCATTAAAAAACAGAAGAAAACTCAGAGGGGCATGTTCACACATGTACATGCATGTGTAGTATGAACTAAGTGTAAGTAGAAGCAGCAAGATGTACTTAACGTGTTAATGAAACAAAGAAAAGACACCAGCAATCCTACCATTGTGTAAGACAATTACAAGTTTCTGTTTCACATTCATTTGGCAGGATGGTAGTACTTCCCTGAGTTGTTGCTTCTACTGACTTACTACCTCGTTTTTAATCATAGCTTATTGGCAATAATAAATAATTTTATAATAATTTTGCCAGCGTTCTGTAGGTAGGCTTTTGGCTTTATATTTATCTAATTGTTCATCATCTGTTTTTCTCTCCATCTTTATACCCATATCAATCTGTTTATCTGATGCCTCAATCCTTCTGGGAGCCTTGAAAGCATGACTTATCTCTGCCTTCCCACATTTCACTAACTGACCATTTCATAATATGATTCTTACAAATGTATATACAGAAAAAATCATCTTATCAAAATCTTAATTCTAAAAAGTTTAAAGATGCCATCATAGTCCATTTATATGGATATTTCATGAAAGTAGGGTAGAGTGGGAACTTGGGACTTACGTAGTGAAGAGGAAGCAGTTCTTACTATTTGTACTCCCTGTAAATTTAGCAGATTTAATCTTTTGAAGTCACTGGTTGTAGTGGTATTGTCACAGTGTTGTTAGAGTATTGCTTATAGTACTATATGCAAATTTGGGAACATTAGATAGTAAGAGTTGTAAACAAGGGACTTCATACTGTAGTGAACATGTGCAGTACATCAGCAAGCAATCTATTTCCAGTTATGTGAATGAAATGTTGGACCCACTTACTGTATCCTCCTCCTACTCCTCCTTCCCTCCTCCAATTCCTGTTCCTCCTCCTCTCCATGAGTTCTTGGTTCTTTAACTGCCTATGCAGATGGTTAATGGGCAATTAGTAATAACCCTTTCCTAACCTATCCTTACCTAGATCAAACTGTGCTTTCAAATGGCTAAATATCAGACTACCACAATTATGCTAGTAAATATATTAATACAGCTTTGTTCTGATGTAATTATTCAGTAAATGATTGATAGAGCAATTCATAGATGATTTTTATATATATTGTTCAACAGTGTTGTCTTTAGTAAGTCTTAATAGGCTTTTACAGACTTCTTTATCTTGATGTTTGGTTTACCATAGTTATTTATCATAGTAATTAAAAATATTTCATTTGAGCATATTATTACATTGGCCATATATATTTATTAACATGTAATGCTTACCTCCACAGAGAGTATGTCGAAGCTAAATTACAAAAACGGGCGATGGAAAACAATAATATCTATAGGCGGCAAGCAGGAGATGGAAGCACTCCTTCATCTGAAAACGGGACACATAGATCAGTAGAAAATTTGTCCCATCGAACAGATGTTGCATCACAGCCTCGGCCAAAGCCAGTGGGAGCTGCAAAACCATGCAATGGTGTACGTAACTATTGTAATTATCTTAGAGTTTTTGAAATGTTATGAGAGGGCAACTGCAGGACTACAGATCACATCAGTTTTCTAGGGTATATATATATATATATTTTTTTAACAGACTGCTCTTCTCCCATCAAGGTAGGGTGACCCTATAAAGAAGAAACACTTTCATCATCACTCCCTCCATCACTGTCTTGCCAGAGGTGTGCCGACACGACAACTCAAGTGCTCCTCCAAACTGCATTATCCCCACCCCTAATTTAGGGTGAAGACACTGTACTTCCCACCTCCAGGACTGACTGGCATCCTTGAATCCCTTCACAAATGTTACCTTGCTCACACTCCGACAGCACATCAAATCGTAAAAACACTTGCCTTCACTCCTATCTAACATACACATGCTTGTTGGATGTCCAAGGTCTTTGCATATGAAACTGCTTTTATCCCAACCTTATAACCTTTAACCCTTTCAGGGTTTCCGACGTACTAGTACGCCTAAATTCTAGCACCTTCAAATCTAGCAAAAGAAAGCTGGTAGGCCTACATATGAAAGAATGGGTCTATGTGGTCAGTGTGTACAGTATAAAAAAAATCCTGCAGGACACAGTGCATAATGAGAAAAAAAAACTTTGTGTTTTTGGTTTAAAACAGCGACTGTGCACTGTATTTTTGTATGGTATTTATGGTTGTATTCTAGTTTTCCTGGTCTCATTTTATAGAATGGAAGATATATTACAGAAATTGAGACAATTTTAATTGGTTTCACAATGAAAAGTACCTTGAAATTTAGCTCAAAATAGCAGAAATGTTCGATTTTTGCCAAAGTTCAAAAGTAAGCAAATCATGCCATGCGTCCAATACGCATCAACTGGCGAGTCTAATATTCTTTCACAAGTGCTGATATTATTTATACCATTCATAAATTAATGCAGTAGTCTGCTTAACAGTAAATCTTCTATTCACAAATAACCCGCACATAAAAGAGAGAAGCTTACGACGACATTTCGGTCCGTCTTGGACCAATTCCAAAGTCACACTGTGTATCGTTCCAGTCACGGTATTGTGCCTTTTTTTGTTATTACATCTTCTATTTTTTGTGAGAATAAAAATTAAAAGTGGAAAGCAAAAGAAATGTGAGAGGGGCCTGGGGACATGACTCATGAACAGAGGAAATGTTATTTTAGTGTCAGGAATGTCTGTCTTGTTTATTCTGGACCCTGTTTGGAAATTGACATCTTTTGAAATTTGTGTGAAATTGGCAAAATTGCCAATTTCTGACCACTTTATTGGATAGTTGAAATTGGTAAATGGGTGGTTCTTTGTATTCATTCAATAGAAAAAATGGAGTTCTAGCAAAATAGTTATGATTTTTGTCGACTAGTACACTGGAATTAGCCGAAAATAGGGCTAATCGCCGATGCGTAAACATCGTCGAGACTGTTAACTTTGCAAGAGTATAATTCCGTAAGTTTTCTGTCAAATTTCATACTTTTCATGTCATTATGATCGGGAAAAGATTCTCTATCTTTTCATAAGAACGTTTTTTTTTTTTTCCTGAAAAATCTTCGACCCTGAGAACAAGTTTAGGAGAGGGCCTCACGACCCTGAAAGGGTAAATAGGATAATCCCTACCCCTTCTTCCCTCCAAGTCATCCTGTTATGCTCTATCCTCTCTAAATGTCCAAATTACCTCAGCAACACTTCAGGATATTACTCTTAGTAACCCAACACACCATCCTAATCTCCAAACTACAAACTCTCTGCATACTATTCACACCACACATTGCCCTTGGACACAACATCTCCACTGCCTCCAGCCTTCTCTTTGCTGCAACGTTCACAACCCATGCTTCACACCCATGTAAGATCATTGGTACCATTATACTGTCATACATTTCCCTTTTTTGCCTCCATGGATAACATCCTTCATCGCTACTGATGCCTCAGTGCACCATTCACTTCTTTCCCTTTGTCTGTTCTGTGATTCGCCTCGTCTTTCATAGACTTGTCTACTGGCAAGTCCACTCCCGATTATCTGAACATATTCACTTCCTCCATACTTCCTCCATCCAATTTGATATCCAATCTTTCATCAGCTAATTTTTTGTTGTCCTCATCACCTTTTCTTTCCTATGATTACTTTGAATTTCCTTTTATTTACAGACCCTTCCAAATTCGTCCACCAACCTTTGCAACTTCTCTTCAGAATCTCCCAAAAGCACCATGTCATCAGCAAAAAGCAACTGTGATAACTCCCATTTTGTATTAGATTCTGTATGTTTTAATCCTACACCTCTCTCCAACACCCTAGCATTCACTTCTTTTACAACCCCATCTATAAATATGTTAAACAACTGGTAAAATAATGTATTCCTGTCCACGGCCTACTTTTACTGAAAAATAATCTCTCTCTTTCCTACATACCCTAACCTGAGCTTCATTACCCTCATAAAACCTGCTTTCAGTTACCTAGCACCTGTTTTATACATTTGCAACATCTCCCACGTTGCTTCCCTATCACCCTTTCATATGCCATTTCTAAATACATAAATACAATGAAAACTTTCTTGTCCTTATCTAAATATTGTTCACTTACATGCTTCAGTGTAAACACTTGGTCTACACATCCCCTAACCTTCGTAAAGCCTCCTTGATCCTCTGTGATCATGCTCTTTGTCTTAACCTTAATTCTTTTAATAATAACTACCATACACTTTACCTGGCATATTCAACAAGCTTTTTTATTTAATATTAATACCAGCCATCTCCCATCAAGGCAGGGTGACAACAGGCTTTATTCGCCTATAATTCTTACACACGCTTTTGTCCCTTTTTCCTTTATATATGCTTTCTGCCAATCCTTAAGTACCTCCCTCCCCCTTTTATGCATTTATTGAATAAATGCACCAACCACTCCAAAACTATATCTCCACCTGCATTTAGCATATCTGTCTTGATCCCATCAATCCCAGCTGCATTATCCCTTTTTTACCCACAGCCTCATGCACCTTTCCCCACGTTCACTTCTGGCTCTTCCTCACTTGTAAAGGATGTTACTCTTTCTTGCCAATGCATGAAATTCACTGCCTCCCTCTCTTCATCAATGTTTAATAGCTCTTCAGAATATTTCCTCCATCTTCTCAATGCTCCCACCTCCCTATCTAGTAACACCCCTCTTATATTTTTAACCCATAAACTGTCCAAACGTAGATCCACGTTCATACGCGTAGCGCTCAAAACTAGATCTACTTTTTTTTACATAAAGAATGTAAAATCGAACGTAGATCTACGTTCAGAGCGCTACTTTATGAACGTAGATCTACGTTTGGACAGTTTAAGGGTTAACTGCTAAATCCATTCGTCCTCTAGGCTTTCTCAATTTATTAATCTCCATAACTTTTTCTCATTCTCAACAAAATTTGTTGTCAGAACCTCACTGTGCTCTTATTTTCTCTCCTTTTACATTTGCTAATCACTCTCTCTTTTACTTTCTATATGCTCTACTTTCTTTATATTACAGTGGAACCCCAGATTTCGGCTGTAATCCTTTCCAGGAGGTCGGCCTAAATCCGAAAAGGCTGAAAACCGAAGTAATATTTCCCATAAGAATTAATGTAAATACAATTAATCCGTTCCAGACATCCAAAAATATTAACAAAAAATACATTTTTGAAGATTGCCTGTAGTTTTACATACACAAAACGGTGAGAACTAAATAAAATGACTAATGAAATGCATATATGAACATTTAACATCACATTTACCTTTATTGAAGATTCTTGTTGGCATATGGAAGACAGGAAGGAGGAGAGAGGGAGGACTGATTATTGTTTGGAAGTGGGATCCCCCTCCATAAGGACTTCAGGTATCAAGTCTCTATCCGGGATTACTTCCCTTCTTTGTCTTTTACTGGCTCATGGACTAAGGTTGAGAGTTACTGCACCCCTGTCGCACAAAAAAACTGTCCAGTGAGGTCTATTTCTGGCATCTCTCTAAGATTTGCCTGAAGTGGGACAAGGTTTGTCACTGAATTCTATCGTGTTTCTCAATTTCTTTACCAAAGAGCCCAGGTGGCTCATTTCGCAGTCACACTCGGTAAACAACCATAAAAAGCAATGGATTATAACGAAATGTTTGGATGAATGCATGGAGTGTTGCTCACTCGCCGAGAGACACAGCCAGACTGATTTGTGCATGCAGCGTGGCGGGCAGATGCATCCAATATGGTCGATTTCTGAGTTGCTGGCCAAAATCAAGGATAGAATTTTGGCCAAAAAAGTGGCTGAAATCTGATTTGGCTGATATCTGAACCAGCCAATATCCGGGGGTCCACTGTACTTCTACTTTGTAAAACCTCTCATACTCTTATTTTTCTCTTACCACTCTTTACCTCATCATTCCACCAATTGCTCCTCTTCCCTCCTACATCCACAAACTTCTGCTGCACATCCTAACACTGCATTCTTAAATCTACCCTATACTTCTTCAAACTACTACTCGTTACTAGTACTCTCTAGCCCAAATTTCTCCCAATGGATGCATATATCTTAGCCTAATTGCCTCCTTCTTTAATTTATAAACTTTCCCTTCTCTCTTACTGATGCCATTTTCCTTATGTCCCATCTGCCTCTTCCTCTAACTCTAAGTAATGATCTGATATATGTGTTGCCCCCACTAAAAACACGCACATCCAGAAGTCTACCCATCAACCTTTTATCCGTTAATACCTATATTCATTTTCTTTAACAGCGCACCAGCTGTCACCCACCAAGACAGGGTGACCTGAAAAAGAAGAAACAAAAGTTTGTCTTCTTTTTACTTTTTTTTTTTTCAACACTTCGGTCATATTACTTTCATCTTCATTCAATACTTTCACCTCACTCATACATAATCACTGTCTTAGCAGAGGCGCTCAGATAGGACAGTTTAGAGATCCCTCCAAACTGCCAATATCCCAAACTATATCCCCACCTGCATTTAGCATACAGGTCTCCCTCCACATT